CCCCAAAACCCCAAAACCCCAAAACCCCGTCAGAACATAATTCATAAATATTCAGAAAATGTTAAAATAATTTAATGGGAAATATACAAAATACACTTAGAGGTGGCGATCAAGATGGTGAAGGCAGTGATTTGCCGAGGACAACAGTCATTCACTATCATAATGGTGATAAATATGAAGGTCAAATTTTGAAAAATTTAAGAGACGGCTATGGTATTTACATTTGTGCTGATAAAGACAAAAGGAGCAATTACGAGTATCTGGGTTATTGGAAAAACAATCTTAGAGATGGCGAGGGAAAATGCTATTTTTATAATGGAGATCTCTATGCAGGAGAGTGGAAAACTGGGAAAAGACATGGCAGAGGTGATCATTTCTATAGAAAAGGAGAGAGATACACTGGGGACTGGAAAAATGACATGAGAGAGGGTTAAGGCACACTGATTTCATCGAATGGAGCCAAGTATGAAGGGCTTTTCAAATAGGATAAAAAACATCTAAAAGGGAAAATGACATTGCCTGATAGCTCTGTATTTGAAGAATACTGGGAATATGGGGTACTGGTTGAACACAAAAAGGTCAATGATGGTGACAAGGATTAATTACCCACTCATACAGAGATTTTAACAGCATCAATGATGAAAATGAATTAGTAAATTAAGAATCATAAAAAAGGATTGATCGATAATCATGCTGTAGCTAAGAAAAATACTCATAATAAACTTAAAAATGATCTGCATAATAACATCAATAATCATAGAAAGGTTAATACCTATTCTCAGATATCGAATCTATTAAACAAGAAGCCTGATGTATTATAATGGTCACTTGATGATGTATGCTCCTGGCTAGAGGCAACTAATCTTTAATAGTTTGAACATTTGTTTAAAAAATGCCTTATTGATGGTTATATCCTGACACAGATTAAAGAGCATGATTTAGAAGTGCATTTAAAAATTGAGCAGTTAGGATACAGAAAAAGAATAATGAAAGAGTTGTACTTTTTGAAGGTGCTTTGGATTAAGCTAAGCGGTGGTCTTGATGCTCATGGGCTAAATTTAAGTGATAAGTCAAGCATCATGTATGAATCTCAATATTTAATGGATCAATCTTCCTTTAATATCTAATAGGATACCACTTTGAAATTATTTGGGACAGAAGCTGAATCGATTTCTCCAGAAAAAGATACTAATAGAAGTACCTATAAAAGGAGAAGGACTAATTAAAATTTGGTATTATCAATGGCTGCTTTGTAAAATACTTCAACAAGTAAATATAATAATACCTCCAGATCTTAAATTTCAAATGAGATGAATAATGCTTCATAGAACAATATATTTGGCAAGTAAAATCAGAATAGAAGCAGGTAATATGAGAATGAGATGTTTATAGATGAGAAGAACTAAATGGATAATAACAATGAGGAGATTGAAGACGAGGAGGATGATGAGTATTTGAATCAGTTAGGATTAGTCAAGTGCTTTAAGGCAAGTGGATTCAATTTCTTCATCGACTTTGAGGAGTTAACATTTGATTTAAAGAGTGATTTCATAGGAGGCGGTGGCTATGGTGATGTATTTCAGGGTAAATGGCTAGGTACTAGAGTAGCTATCAAGAAATTTGGAAAGCGATATCTTACTAAGAAAGCTGTGAAGGATTTTATTAAGGAAATTGAAGTCGTTAATTAACTTAGACATCCAAATATAGTACTATATATGGGAGTTTCATTAGATTAAAATAACTTCTACTATATGATAACAGAATTCGTTAACAAGGGCTCTTTATTTGAACTATTACACTAAAAAAAGGTTATCCTTGATGATGATCGTATTATGCGGATCGCTAAATAAATGGCAATGGCATTATAATACTTGCATAGAAAAAAGATTTTACATTGTGATCTAAAATCACAAAATATCCTACTTAATGATGATTGGACTGTTAAAATATGTGACTTTGGTCTAGCTAGATATAAAGAAAAGTTTTAAAAGGATAATCACGGTAAGATAGGCACACCTCATTGGATGGCTCCTGAAATTTTAAGAGGTGAGAAATATCTTGAGCCCTCTGATGTATACTCCTTTGGTGTGATACTCTGGGAAATGCTAATTGGAGAAATCCCATATATGGGCAGATCAATAGCCTAAATCACCGGGGTTGTAGGATATCACTAAGAGAAGCTATTTGTACCACTTAGATGCAATAAACACTTGAGGAAGATTGTTAATAATTGTCTTATTTACGAACCACATAGACGTCCTACTTTTGATCACATTTTGAAGTATATAGAAAGAGTTGAGAGGAAACCTCGGTTTGAAACTACTACTCCCTTAATCAATAAATTAGGAGATTTTTTAAGCTGAATCAATTCACCAGGATAATCATCGTAAAAGAAATATAACTGGTCAATTTCTCATATAAATATTATTAACTAAACAACATTTAATATTTTTATCAAGTATCTTTGGAAATTTAAGAACCGAGGGGTTTTGGGGTTTTGGGGTTTTGGGG